GGCAGCTCCCTCCCGAAAAACGCCGCAGGATAACGCCCGCGCCGGGAGATTCGCCCAGCCCCGGCGCTGGACCACCGCGGGCGCCCGAGATGCCAGAAGGTCAAAGCTCGATCAGACCCTCTCCAGCCTTAAAAAGAGGGTGAGAGGAGAAGGAAGAGGGAGGAGGAGCGGCAGCAGCTCGCAGAAGGAAGCTGGAGGATGGAAATTCAAGCAGGCTGTGGTTTATTTAGGCCACCCCTTCCTGCAAATCCTTGGTGGGGAGATTACACAGCAGCCGCCTCTATCTCTGCCAGCACACACCGGCTCTGGTTACCAAGAGCCAGAAGCCAGCCTTAAGCTGAGCCCTGAGCATCTCATAAGCTCGAACAAGATCCAACCCCGAGCTCAGGACTACAAACGCGAAGAGACGAGGTACCCAGATGAATAAAGCCGTCAAATGCCAGGAGCTCATGGATAACCGGGGCTGGAGCTGCGTTACGCAGGCAGTCTCGTGGGACAGGACATCACGCACGTACCTGGAGTGGCCCTGGTAGGAGGCAGATCCTTAAAAACCAGCGAAAACCCACCTCCAGCTGTCCTTTCTACCAGGCAGCCAGCACGGCATCACCGCAGGCACCGGCAGATGCCAGCCTGCTCCTCTGCCAGGACGAGCTCCAACGGTCACTTGCCCAGTGTCCCACCTCTCCCACCAGCGCTCCCCGTGCCCTCTCACCGCTCAGGAATCAAATCGCCGGAGGTAACGGCGCTTGGGCAGAGGATTGCCGAGTGTTACCTGTGTACAACACTCAGCTCTGCAGCGGGGATGCCACCAAAGGGACACCCCGCGGGGCCTGGGAGACAGGGGACAGCATCTCACCTGCGCCCGGACCAGCGACTCAAAGCTGGGTTTGAAGTAATCAATGCGGCTGCTATAAAACTTGGGCATTTCCTCCAGGAGCTGCTTGTTTTTGGCTTCAAAGTCCTCCTTCACCGGCCTCAGCTCTTCACGGGCCTGGGAAAGGAGAGAGGACAGGGAGTCAGACATCTGGGACAACGTCCTTTGCTTGGGCAGAGCTGCACAGAGGCCACCACAGGCCAGTGGATTGGTGGGACCCAAGTGACCATCTAACAGAGCCTGGTGGGACCCAAATGACCAGCTAACGGAGCCTGGTGGGACCCAAATGACCAGCTAACGGAGCCTGGTGGGACCCAAATGACCAGCTAACGGAGCCTGGTGGGAACACCATCGAGCAGCCTGGTGGGACCCAAGTGACCATCTAACAGAGCCTGGTGGGACCCAAATGACCAGCTAATGGAGCCTGGTGGGAATCAAATGACCAGCTAATGGAGCCTGGGGGGACCCAAGTGACCAACTAACGGAGCCTAGGGGAAACCAAATGACCAGCTAACAGAGCCTGGGGGGACCAAGTGACCAGCTAACGGAGCGTGGTGGGATGCCAGTGATCAGCTAAGAGAGCCTGGTGGGACCAAATGACCAGCTAACGGAGCGTGGTGGGATCCAAGCTCTGAACTTGGAAAGCCACGGGACAGGTAGAGCGGCTGCGGCAGAGATCACGCGCCAGTTGATCTCCTCCCCTTCAGAAGAATGGGGAGAAAAACCAGCCCCAAAGCTCAGCCAGGCTGGAGAACTTCCCCGGCCACGTCCGCGTCCCCTCGCCCTGCGATTCCCAAGAGCATCGCCAGAGGATCCTGTCCCCACCGTCATTTTCGCCCGTGACCTTCAGCTCGGCGCGTCCAACTGGCTTCTTTAAACAGAAGCGTGGGGAGAAAGGGAAATGTCTCTGAGATGGTGTGGAAAAGGGCAGGAGGGGGTGGGCTGTGAAATATTAGACCGGTTCAAGTCTGCCACTTAATCCGGCGCCGGTCCCGCTCCCCGGGACGGCACGCCGGAGCCATGGCACGGACAAAGCCTTCAATCACGTCGGGCTTAAGCAGGTCTGAGACGCAAACGAGCAAATTCACCGTCTGCCGTGCAACGAGGAGCGTGCAGACTCCCGGGGTGGAGTTCACCTGGGGCACCAAACGGCAGAGGACCTGGAGCAAGCGGCTCTGGAGAGAAGACGCAGATTTGCAGCTCAGTACCTGGCTGAGATGATGCCATTTTCCATCAAATCTGTGGACCTCTCGGGTGCCCCGGGTTCAGGCTTGCTTAAGGCTCCCGCGGGCGTTTAAGCTCACGCAGTGACTAGTTAAGATCTTTTAGGAGGGGGGAATTAAGATCCCACAGAAGTTCATTAAGGGAAAAAAAAATATTAAATAACTAAAACCTGCTTAATCACCAGGACAAAAGCATTCACATTTTTCCAGCCGCAGCTTTAGTCACCGAGGCTAAGCGAAGTAAGCTGCTTACTATTAAATCGGAGGTCTCTTTTGTGAAGGCTGATAGGGCTATTCTTTAACACAAAACTTAATTTTTGTGGGGAAAGTCATCAGAAAAATACACGTTCTTTGAGGCCGAGAAAGTCGACTGTTCCTTCAAGGATCAAGCAGCGTTCTGCAGGAGCGACAGATTTGGGGAGAACTGCTGGTGTAGATTTAGTTAAGAAAAGAAAATAATCATGATTTCGCTAAAATTTAGAAGAGAGAAAAGAATCTGGCAAAGCTTCCTGTTAACCAATTACTGCAGTTTTCCAAGACGAATTTCTGTAACAGGTGGCAAACACCAAGCCTCGAAACGCTCTGATCTTCCCCTTCTCCCACCCAGCTGCTTGCTCAGACGCGGAGGTCGGGGAGAAACCGCCCCTCCGAGCATCCCCAGCTCCCGCAGCTTCCATCCCATTTTCTGTTGGAAAACCGGCTCCTTCCCTTCGCTGAGCGCTGCAATTTGCATTTCTGCTATCAAGCGCCCTGCGTGGGGATCGGACATCGATAGAAGAACATCCTTCCAAAGCGCTGTGCTTCGTGGGAGCTTGGCGTGGGTGGCAAACGCCAAGAGAAAAGCTCTTCCCGAGCCCTGGGGCTTTGCCACTGACCCTGCCTGGGATGCGGGTCCGGAGCATCTCGGTACCTGGTGCAGCTTGGCGAGGACGGGGCCGGTCCTCTCCTTCTCCTCCTATTTCTCCACCTTGGACTGCAGGCGCTTGTAGTCCTGCAGTGTCTGCTCCCGTCTCTTCACCGCCATGTTCAGGCTGGGGAACACGCT